TCTTAAAAAAAAAAAAAACCTTCTTACCAACCCCAAATGTTTAAACAGTAGTGTAATATATAACTAAAGATTTTTTCAAAGAAGAAATGTATGCTTTTTTCCAAAAGCTCCCCAAAGAAGTTGCTTGTCTCTCTGCTAATATGCTGTAAATACACTGTCTTACCTGGTGTTTCATCCAGCTGTTGGGGATCTCTGGTCTGCCCCGGTCTCTCAGCACATTGTCTTTCATGCTCTCCACACAGGGGTGCTCTCGGACTTTCGAGCCAAATGGAGGTTCGTAGTCCTTAACCTCTGCAAAGACACACACATGAGACGATCAGATAATCTGACATATGATCTATCCCCTTATGACAGCATGAAGAATCATTGTTGGAGAGCATTTGTTCGTGACTCGTGAGAAGTACTGAGTTTGGAAACTGGAAGCTGGAAGAAAGTCCTGAATGGGGAAAAGAACGCATGTTTCATATGCTCTGGTTATTATCTCCGGAAAAAAAACGTAAATGTGGCATCTGGAGAAAAATGGGACGAAATCAGTTTCTCCATCAGAATGGCAACAATAAATAATGCTGAGTTGTGGGTCATTTGTTTTGTTCACAAGAACAAATTGATGAAATATGAGGCTAATCACTGGACTGTGCCAGCGAGCTCCAAAAACAGATTTTCCAGACCTTGTGAAACCCGCAGCTGCAGAGGCCCAATCATATATCTGTCCTCAGCCTCCATAGCCAAGTACTTGACCAGAGCCAGCTATAACACACAAACACACACAGGGTGCTAAAAAATCTGCAAGAAACACCAAAACCTCCAGTTTCCCAAAAACAGTCAGAGACATCATAAAACAGCAGTTATTGTCCTCTTCTTGGCCAATATAAAATCCATTACTGCAAATGATGGTGGATGAGTACGTTTACTTTGGAGCGGTTTGCTCTTGATTGGAGAGCGTGTTTTGTGGTTCTTGCCCAGCACTCTGGGCCCACAGGAAGGGGCTAGGCCAGCGTGCAGCCTGGGCAGGAAGTGGAGGACTGTGATTGGGCCCCTGCGGAGAAGCTGACTCCACAAGTGAACGCATCCTGTTTTTGACAAGTGGACTTCCCATGTTTCAGTTTTTAAACAAAATACTCCCGCCCCTACGGTGCTATTTCTGCTGTCCTCGGTGGCCCGTGTGAGGGTCTGACCTGATGGTGTTAAAACGGACTAAATCGGAGCTTAGCATGTATGCAGTCCATAGACAAGGACACATGGCTGTCTGCAACATTAAGGTCACCGAGCATCTTTCGTTTTGGGTCTTTCTTGCTTTTTCTATATGTCCTGATTTGCTCAAGGGGCTGAGCTACTCAAATGCACTCGCTATGTGAGGAATGCTGTGGTTTTTGGGAACAGATGTCCTGCCGGCTGAGGCCTCACACCCCAGGCCCAGCTAGAAGTATCCAGGGAAGCACAACCATTCAAACATTTACTGTGTGAAAATGTATTTAATTGAAACTGTATAAAATTCATGTTAATAAAGAATTTATATAATTATTTCTATAAAAATGAACGTCCAACAGACATGTTATCATATCAACCAACAATTCTGTCCTCAATAAAATACTTTTTTTTTTTTTTAAAGTTAGTGCACTTGGTTACCAAAGAGATGACAGTGCCAATGACTAACAGCTTGAGAAATATGAGATGTGTAATATTTACCTTGATTTTTTTCACATAAGGTAAATGTAAAATTTGTAAAAAGTAAATCAAGCTGTAATTGTCAAATTAAAAAGTGTGAAAATAAAATGTAATTGTATTTACGATACATAAAATAAAAACTGTGAAATGAGCATTGTTGTAATAAGCATTATTAACATTTCAAAATGTTAAAAAATAATTTCTAAACATTGTATACAGTATAAATATACATACTCTCTCTCTCTCTCTGTCTATATATATATAAATATATATATATATATATATAGAGAGAGAGAGAGTGTGTAGAAATTATTTATTTTTATATATTTGTGGAATAAAACAATGCTCATTTCAGTTTGTATTTGTATATGTATATATATATATATATATATATATATATATACACACACACAATCT